ACTCAATTCCAGGGGTGTGTCCGCGTATCGTAACTTGTTTCGCCTTGCCCAATGCATTGTTCTGTCCGAATTTATTTCTTCTATTTGTGGGTTAATCACTATTCAGTCCAGTTAACAGATGGTTAAGTTGACCAGTCAAAAATAATAAATTATTATACGGCTCCTAACCGATAATGAATCAGTCATTTAGAATTTAATACTACAGAACTTGTCCAAGGTTATAAAGCGTCTTTTATTTTATCTGTACGTATTGCAGTTACTACTCGTATATATTTCTTTCTGGTGACACTTTTAAGATAGTGCAGTGACATTAGTAAATAAATATAAGATACCTGTAATTTCGACAGCTCTTAGCTCGGGGTGTATAATAAATTGATTTAAGATTTGCTCCTTTAGAAAATTCTGTGTGGTCTGTTTCTGGGTCTTGATAGACAGGAAAAAGTTTACATTCCTCTGGTCCAGTGTCGCTTTCATTTCGTGTCGGAAATGAAGACGGTGCTGGGTTTTTACTACAAGAAATCTAATTCAGTGGTCAAACAGCTTTTGTTCCGCGCATCCAGTTAATTGAATGTAAGAGTAGTTTGAATCCTTCCTTACCGGTCATTTCCTGTAACTCTGGCGTTTTCCACTCTCGCGGCTTACTCATCGCCCTGATGATGGAGGCAGCAAGGACCTTCGAAACGTCGGGATAAACGTCTACCAGACTACACGGCGTAACAACCCAGATGAAGGGAGTTTTATGGGTCAAACACTTCGGAACATAAATACTCAGCTAACTATAAATAAATCTCTCTTTTCATCGTGTAATGGTGACGGTAACACCCTGTCTGTTTGCTTGATTGACATGAATAATAGTTCAGAATGGTACAGATTGGGGGAAAAAGTGTCGGTAATAGATCCCTCAACCAAAGCATCTTCAACTACTCCATAACATTCTGTATATTACGTGTTACATATGTTGTAGCTGCTTTTAGAACACCCTGTATATTACTTATGATGTCAGTGTAACGGTTACCGACCGATCATTTATTGCGTAGACTGCGAACCACAGCTTTCTAAAAATCAAACACAGTTGTTCAGATCAGAAGAAGTATTGGCCACTGTGTCTAGTGCAGTAGTGACGTAAGAGTCACTCAGGGACTGTGCGGGCTTCCTACCCGGTGTTTCATAAGTAACGTTTCCGTCAAAAATCTATTAGGCGTAGTGAGTGAGTAAGGACATTGTCAGTTAATTAGTTACTGTGCCGTCCCTCTGAAGTTCGCAGTAGAATAGCGTATTTAAATAAGCCAATAATTCATCCGTAATTACTTGCTTCTCAATGCATTCACCTTCTCGTAATGAATTTGAGAATTGACACAGCGTTCAGAAATGTATACAAGAAGAATAAACATGGTCTATTATAAAGTTAGTGACATTTTAGGTTCTCAAGGCAACGAATATTTCGATGGCTGTCTTCTCGATTTTTGCGCCGTGTGGTCTGGTAGAAATTTACTGACGTTTCAGAGGTCCTTGCTGTCTCCATCATCAGGGCGATTCGTGAACTTCTACCAGACTACAACGCATTAACCCACAAGATATTCACTTTTTTTTTAATAATATTCTAGACCTAATGTAAACATCGACTGTCTTGTAACTTGAATTATTATTTCCGGCCGAATTAGGTAGGCTATGGATTCGAAGCTTGGTTTTTCAGCATTTCAATCTCAAAACTAAAAGTGCACAGGACAACGTTAAAACTGTTCTAATAATTGATACCATGATACAAATTCCGTCTTGAGAAGCTCGTAGTCGCTAAGATCGTCAATAAACGACCCGGATCTTATTGGATCCGAGAGCTTATAACTCTGTTTACAAGAACCTGCCACTGGTTTCTATTTTGAGCCAGCTTAATCCAGTCCACATCCTCACACGATGTTTTCTTAAGAACCATTTTAACATTATTTTCCCATTTACTCCTAGATCTAACACGTTATCTCTTTCCTTTAAGTTTTAAGATTAAATTACAGGGTGTAACTTTTACGTTACGTGTTTTTATTTAATTTTTTACATTTGTGTAACGCTCCTGTAATGTACGTAATGAAAAGTGTAACGTAGATAATAATATAAATGTTCTGTAGACGCGGCTCACGTGTTTTATCAGTCTGAATGCAATCCATGAAGCGTTCACTTAAACCTGTCTGCCTGATATTGGGTTTAGTTGTCTGTTTTCTGTTGTAACTTGTGCGTTAATTTCGGATTGATGATGAAATGTCAGAAATACCGTTCGTTGTTCATAGGAAACTAACTAACTAGTTCTGAAATGTTCGAACAACGGAGATGGAGCTGCATTTCAGAAATACCTGCCCCCCCCCCCCCTTCAGAGCAGAACTCTGGCTTGAAATCGAAATTATACGTTCGTTTTATTTCCCTGTATAAGTTAACATTCTGTAATAACTAAGCTTAATTAAAATTATAAATCTGAGGGATCATAAAATAGATGTCGTATGCTAGTTACGTATGAAAAATAGCATTTGTAATGGTACAGAAATATTATAAAACTAGTCCTTTCTGATCGTACGACGTTATAAATTACGTACCAAACAGTATGTAGTAACAGTGATGATAATGTGTCATCACCCTGACGGAAGAGACGGACTGAGAAGGAGTTTAAATTCGCTTAATTCTTTGAATCTAGTGGTAAATATTCGCACAATCTGTTTTAACGAATTTTAATTGTATGTTTCTCCACAGGGTGTATTTACGTGTTTCGTATGATTCTCAGAATAAACAGCGATTATTCCCTTAAACAGCGTTAACCAGCTGATCTCTGTAATGTTGAAGTGTGGTGTTTTCTTCGCGGTACGGACTGGATTATTAAGTATTAATCAGACGAACTATGATCCTCACTATAAACCGGGATTATTTCCTTAAACAGCGTTAACCAGTAGATCTTCGTAATGGTGAAGAGTTGTGTTTTCTTCGCGGTACGGACTGAATTCTTAAATAATATTTAGACGAGATTTGGCTTCAAAAGGATTAAATCTATTTGTCTTGTTAAAAATGCCTGAGAACCCGTATTGAACACTGTCGAAACTTTCATTGAAATCGATCGGTGATTTACAGTTAACGTGCAGTTACGTGTAGTAGCCTATCTGATGTTACAGTAGGCTGTGAACTCAGGACCCGCCGAGTCCACGTATTCGAGGGTGTGTCAGCTGAGTACATAGCCTTAAGTAGAACCAGCAGACGATAAACTTTCACTGCACGATCGTCAGTATGTGCAACAGCGGTCTATGTCGCACTGAAACGCTCCATTTCTTCGAATTGTGTAGTAACTTGACAGATAAAATCTGAGGGTTCATTACTAACCAGTTAAATAATCGTTTTGTAATAAAACCTGAATTTGCATATTGCGAGGTCTATGACATATGTAATCGTAACATGGGAGTTTTACGATGGGGGAGGTACACAACGCCTAAGCCCCAGACTGGAGGGCCAACTCTTGTCGCTTGTAAGTAGCAGCTGTAGGATGGATAAAATTAATCGATGGTTTCCATAACATGTTCTCTTTACTTACTATTAGAGTAATTACATCATGGAGCATAATATGGTTGGGACATATAAAACATATGAGACAGATGAAAAGTACATTTGGGTTTTAGCCCTTTAGCCCTGAAGATGGAGACAGTATGTTTTTTTTTATCCGAAACGTCGGCATCTAGCAACATGACTCCAAACCCGAGAACAAAAACATTGTAACACAAGGATTTTATTCGGTGAATCCAAAGAATGAATTCACATGAGAGATTAGAAATTAGAAAGAGGATAATATTAAAGTGGATCTCAGAAAAATCAGGTGTTCGACTATGAATTTTTAAGGAAATATTCATTACTTTCCTTTTGTTACTTAAGGTGTTTTATTTTTAATTTTTGTTTCTTAGGTACAAGGCTCTCCATACGTGAGTAGAGTACCATAGAATATGGTAGATAACAAAATTTTGTGCCCGGAGTATAAATCGCATTCGTGTTTCCTTTTGTTTTCGCCCTCTGAATGATGCAAGTCAGCTGTGTAGTGCCTAGTGTTAAATAAGTGCAAGCAGACGGGTTTGACGTCCATAACAGGTTGAATTCTTAACCTGACACGAGATACTTCCTTCCTCGTAACTAGGCTGCTTATGACGTCATATTCGATGCAACATGCAGGCTAGTTCACACAGTGCTAAACTGGTTATAGATTTGGTCAGGAACTTGTTTTTTTTTTATTAATGAAAACGACTGTCTTCTGATGTGTTGCGCCGTGCACTGTCGCAGAAATTGGCAGACGTTACAGAGGTCCTTACTTCCTCCATCATCAGGGAGAGAAAATCCTGAAGCTCAAATCCTTAAGATTTTAAAAATGTTTAATTTTATAAATAAATAAAAAATGTTTGTGTTTTTCTATCTCGCACAAAGAATTTTCGTAATTTATGTAAGAATATTTTTAATAGATACGAGACGTGAGACAAGGTGAGAATTAATGTTGCGCAGGGTTTGATTTTCATGCGTTCACTTTGACAAGACTCATATACTGCCTGCGCATGGATACCATATGCCTTTGTATGGGTGTTCCCTGGAAAATCGATGATGATTAATCATTTAAAGCCCACTGGTAACTATATGTACCGCCTGCTTTATAGTAACTCTGCAATTTCCCGCGTTGGTTTCGTATGAATGTCGCTGTAAACAGCGATAATTTCCTTAGAGCTAACCAGTTGATCTTTGTAATGGTGAAGTGCGGTGTTTTCTTTGAGGTAAGGACTGGATCTTTAAGTGTTATTCACGTGAGCTTTTGCTTTAAAGGATCAAGGACTAAGGTGAGAGAGTAGGTTACTCGTGGGACATCGATCCAGAGTCCTTCAGGAGAAACTGAGAAAAAGTGTGAAACTAGAAGTTTATCTAGTCTTTAGGCAGGTGACCTTGATGAACTGTCTTCAATGCAGTTGCAGAATGAAGTTGCGGGATGATAATAATAATCAGACGTGTTTACGTTTAAGAATAATTTTATTGACAGAATAGTAACTTATAAGAAAAAGGTTTCACATATAAAAATAATTAAAATTTAATGCACATAATTTTCGTTTAAAGATTTCATCCAGGTGAAAACTTGTTCCGTAAGGAACGAGAAACTCGTCTTGTTCTGGCAGAACAACGCCAACGAGTTATGAAAATTAAGTTGAGCGAAGAACTTGGGAGAGACAGGTGCTTTGTGTGGATATAAGGAAGCCATTGACATCCGTACAAGTCTGGTTACATCGTCGTAAGTTACGAAACTATTCAAATTTCTAAACAGGTGTCGTGTGTGTCAAATTAATTCACAAGTGTTCCATGAGACGCGGAATTAAATCTGTTGCCAATAAAATTAGTGTTTTTCGTAGTTCCGCTGGAAGTTTGGGTTGTACTTCTGAAATGGCTGACTGGGAGGGGTTATGGAAAAGGGGAACGTATTAATGGTACCCATAACCAAGACCGTAAACCGGAGCTCCGTAGCCATCGACACCATAACCACCGTAAGATCCATAAGAGTTTGCCAGGCCGGCATCCCTGGCGACCTCAGGAAAGCCATCGTGATGTCCTCCCTGGCAGGCCAAGGCGTAGGAACAGACGGTCAGAGCTAGGATGACGTAGACCTGAGAAAGCAGACAGACGTTGACATTGTTTTCATTCTCGTAATACAGCAAAAAGTGAAGATAGCTGATCTCTGCCTTATACAGACGTGTAGTGTGGTAGAAGTTTACCGACGTTTCGGAGTTCCTTACTGCCTCCATCATCTCGGAGCTAAAATTCAGAGGTCGGCCATCTTTGACACATTTTGAGTTGCCCAAAAGATTTTACCTAAAACAATCTACAGGCCATGTATTTATGTTTCGTCATTAAGGAATTTGAAAATGTAGCATTACAATTACAGGATAATCGTTTATCAATAGAAAAAGAATTTCGATAATTTCAGTATATTTGTCAGACGCCATAAAAATGAGTTATCCCGGTAAGATAGTTTTAATAACATCTGAAAAATGCACTTTGGCTGAAGTTTTTATAAATGTCTACAGTAATAAATCTAGTAATAATCTACGCATTTTTAAAAAAAAAAAATTGAAACCACGAGACAGTTTCCTGAATTGTGTAATTATCGTAGTTTATCGATTGATAAATGTTCTCGGATGCTAGTCAGTTTGAGAATGTAATTGCAGTTGATACAAAGCGAGCAGATAAATGATCTCGTCAGTTAGCCATTGTGAACAAGAAAGAGACTGCATTTGATTTAGCATTGATATGAAAATAATCAGATAAGGTACAGTCATAGGAAGTAGTGACCTCAATTTGAGACTCTCAACGCTGTTCAAAGTGACAGATGGTTGATGATAACAAAAAAAGAACCATGGTGTGTAATAACACAGGATCTATTTCCCGTCTCTTAGCGTAGTTGCGTAATGTAATTTTTGACCGTCGCTTCGAAACGGCTAATGAGCGTTGCAAAATAAGTTACACCTCCTGACGTCAGGAAAAACAAATACGTGACTCATTACGTAAAATTTCATCACAGTCTTAGAAACCACGTGTGACAATGCACTACTTTCTTTTTGACATAGTAATGACCGTGAACTAATGTTTGTTTTGCAAACAATAAGCTCTGTATTACCCACAGCAAAACAGAGTAGAGTTAGAAACATTTTTAACACTGTAATTCTATTGTTTCTTTATTAACTCCATGAAAAATAGTTCTTATTGAGAAACTTATAGCCACTGAGCTAATCAGAAAATTCCTCTCCTTTCATGGACCCATAAGGCGACTAGCCTGTACCCTGAGTCGTTTTAACTCGGTCTATAACTTCACATCGTATTCCTTAATATCTATTTTAATATTATCCTTCCAACTTTGCCAACGTCTTCCAAGTTAATAAGTTTTATTCGTAAAAAGTCGTAACCTTGTTACTTGAATACCAATTGGAAATGCAAGCTAAGTATTCAGATGTTTGTAATTGTTACAAGTTTTGGTAAATTGGCTCCCAACAGATGAGGGGGTTTATTTACAACTCAAAAAAAAAATTCGACAGCAAGATCTGAAATGTGTGGTTTGTTTTAGGAGTCGAAAATTAAGAATAAACAATCTTTGTTTTGTAAGTGTATTCTAGGAGGGCGGATCCCTCCATCGAAGGAGTCCTACGAAAATTTCTGAAAGAATACAAAATTAATTCTGACTTATAAGAGGTCAGAGGAATTAATCTCTGAAATATAAAGACAAATTAGTCTATTTTTAATCTATATCACTAGCGTACTTCAACGATACCGTGCCTTAGGTTGTGGGCTTCTGGGTTGAAACTCCGTATTATATCGTATAACCTGAAGGTGTAAACGGCAGGTTCCTCCTAAACGTTAGTCACCACCCATTTCTCAACACTGTGTCACAGTCCAGAAGACATAATTCTCATTTTAACCTCCTTCAATATCTCAATTTTCACGTTTATCTTATTTTAATCGTTCAATCAGTGGTAGAATTTTAATACCTGAGCGCCATGTCATCTGCATCTCAGCTTAGATTATTTCGTGGTAGGAGATCGTAAATTTAACAGGGGCCTATGATTTAGCATGTGGAAGACCTTAAAGCCCGGTCTCTTGTGGTAGGACCCAGATGAAATATTAAAATGCGTTCACTTACCAAAACCTTCATGATGGTGTCGTTTGCGAAATCTGTGTCTTGTCTGTGTCGTGTGGAACAAAGGCGAACTTGTAGCTGACCATAGATTACCAGTCATATTTATACTTGACTCCCGAAACTTTTGTAGAAGTCCGGCAATATTTTATCTACCCCACCCCCATTGTTTTATCCCCTCCCCACCTGACCCCCCCGTGACTACCGAAATATGAGAATATGAGGTCGCACCTTTTTAAAAAAAACATATTGGGTGCCAGTTATTCGCTGTGAAAGCCAGATTTAGGTAAATAGGTTACGATTCTTTGCATGATAATGTTTTATTCGGGGAAGGACATCGACTTTGAGCCGCGGATAATTGTGATTTATCTTTCGGCACGTATTATCCCCCCCCCATCCATGGGAAAATATGAATAATTAATGAAGCCCCACCGGACGGGCGAGGACCACTTATTTAAAAACGTGATATCACGAATTTGGCTGTCTTGTTGCTTGTTACGCCTTGCGATCTGGTAGAAGTTTATCGACGTTTCGCAGGTCCTTTCAGCCACCATTATCAGGGCGATGATGATTGAGGCAACAACAAGCATTTATGAAACGTCGGCGAACTTCTACCAGACTACACGGTGTCACAACCCAGAAGACGGCCATCTTCAGACTCACTGCCGTGTAAACATGAAATGTTACTTATATGATGTTCTGATTATTCTGAATTTTCGACGTTACGTATTATGTCCAAAATTGGGTGTTCCTCACCCAGGACGTACATAAAGCGGTCGGAGGCTTTGCATTGTGTTATAGAAACTGTATTCGACTTCAATAGATGTGTGCCGCCGTTAAAGACTTTGACATTGACTGATGAACAACAGAACTCAGTTTACAGGTTCCTTGTAGCACAGAGATCATTCTTCAAATGACACTGACAAATAAGCGAGCAGCGAAATTACGAAATGAATTGTAAGCAGAAACGCTATGACTGATCTACTATTTGCTACCTGTGGCGTACCGTGCCTGTGGCGTACCGAGGAAGATAAAGATATTTATTAACTTTTATCGTGAAAGAATTTCATTTCAGAATCTCGTAAATTAGATCCTTGATTCTATGACGCATTTCCTGTCCAAGGAAACTTTTTTCTGATTTTTGTCTAGTATACATTAACTTAATTGAAGATGTCTGTCTTCTGGGTCTTCTGGGTTGTTGTGTCATGTAGTCTGGTAGAACAGCCCTGATGATGGAGTCAGAAAGGACCTCTGAAACGTCGGTAAACTTCTATCAGGCTACGCGGAGCAATAACCCAGACTCACCGCCGTGAAAATCTCAAATATTACTTAAGTTAATTTAGCATATGTCTGCTTTAAAAGCTTGTAGTAGCTCAGCTAACAAGGAATTTCTGTTCTTTTATGGAATTCAAATATTCATTGCCGTGTTCACAAGCGTTGTGTGCATGTAGCAGGTTCTGAGATCATAAGTGCGATTTTATTTATTTAGTGTTCTGTCTGACGACAGGTCCATATGAACAGGATCCTTCCATCCTTGTCTCGGACTGGGACCTGTTCATATACGTCCTTGGCAGATGACCCAGAAGTGGTTTGCCATTGCCTTCTTCTGTGTGTGAATGGAGTAATTGTTGGGATGCCACGGAGGAAAACTCCGTGTTGCCTAGACCACGGCCTTGCCCAACACAAGTTATAAATTCGGGCACCGCCGGGAATCGAACCCGAGACCCAAACAACCTTTTAATCGGGTGGTAAGAGGGTAGTAAAATGTATCTTAAATAAATGGGGTGTGAGGATGTGGACTGTGTTAATCTGGTTGAGGACAGGGGCAATTGGCGGGCAGTGAGAGATGTGTATGAGAATGGACTCCTCAGTTAAAATTCCAACCACCTTCTTAAACAAGTACAACTGTATATT